CCTGGGTTAGGGCAGTGCCCGACCCAGCCAAGTGGGATGAGGCTGGAGGGGCAGGCATGGGTACCATGTCCTTGGTGCTCGCTCCTGGCCATGCTGATGGCTGGCCAACCCCTTCTCCGTGCTGGCATCACCCAGGAGAGGGAGGCAGTGCCTGAGCCCAGCGGCCCCCCTTCTCCTGCCAGCCGTGGGGACGTCACCCTGCCCTGTCCGCTGGAAACAGCCCCGCACACCTTCCCCAGCAAAATCAAAGCCAGCCTAGCCCAGCTCCGGCTGGGTTGACCTGGGAGAAGGGGTAGGAGACCCAGCCATGCCACTGGTGACTTCTGACCTCCTCCCTTGCTCCATCACTTTGTTTCCAGGCCCTGCAAGAATTAGCTGCCCGGCACCCCAGCATCAAACTGGTCCAGCTAGGTATGGAGCAATCTCCCTCCTTGCACCCAACGTTGCTTTCTAGCCCTCCACTGGTTTCAGGGATGGGACCAGGGGCAGTTTTGTCGGGCAGCCTGCCTTACCGCTGGCATCCAGGCAGCTCCGAGCCCTGCCAGGAGGGGAGGGATGGGCACACATCTGGGCAGGCTTCCCCCTCCGAGCAGAGCTGCCCTCTGTCTGGAAGCAGTCAAACCGGCTTCGGAGCCAGGCAGAGGTGGGTCTGGATACCTTGGCTGAGCGAGTTTCATAGGAAAGGAATGACCTCTGTTCGCAAAGATGCTAAACGCAGTGCCCGAGTTTTGGGCTGGGACAGGCAGTTTCGCAAAGCGAAGCAAGGCAGGGCGCAGCAAGCAAACCTACCACGTGGTTCCTAAGTGGGAGGGTTGGTTTGGGGTCTGCTTGGAGGTGGCTGTGGTCAGCATTTTCTTTGCAGCTGGTAAAAAAGGGGAGAAAAGAAATAGGCTAAAAGGATGCCTATGGAAAATCTGGCCTGGTGGTGGTGGTGGTATCCCAGGTTGATGCTCAGACCCGGAGGCGTGCTTCAGTTTGGGATTTCTGGGCCCTACAAGAAAGCTGGAGAGGAACTTTTCACAAGGGCTTGTAGTGATAGGACGAGGGGGAACGGCTTCAAACTGAAAGAGGGGAGATTTAGATTAGATATTAGGAAGAAATTCTTGACTGTGAGGGTGGTGAGCTCCTGGGGCAGGTTGCCCCGAGAAGCTGTGGCTGCCCCATCCCTGGAGGTGTTCAAGGCCAGGTTGGACGGGGCTTGGAGCAACCTGGGCTGGTGGGAGGTGTCCCTGCCCATGGCAGGGGAGTGGATACTGGATGATCTTTAAGGTCCCTTCCAACCCAAACCATTCTGTTATTCCATGATCCTGGACTGGGGAGGTCCTTTCCCTGCTTCTGTGGAGGCAGGCCAGATTTGGTGGCCTTTGTCAGCAGCATTGGGGAACAGTAGGAGAAGGTGGCAAATGGACCTGGACAGCACAGGGACTTGGGGGAGAAAAGGGAGAGCAGCCAGGGCAGCCCCTGATGTTCCCAAAGCTGGGATATTGGCAGGCAGAAAGCTTCCAGGGTGCTGGGCAGGGATGGGGGCTCAGTGGGGAGGACAGCGCTGGAGTGAAGCATGGGGAGGTAAGTCTCAACCTACCTATTTATTTGCTTAAAAACACCTGAAGAGTTCAAGTAGATTTTAGCTTTTCTTAGCAAAGAAAGCCTTCCTCGAGTCAGGCTTTTCTAAAAAGCAGCAGCAAATCTCTCTCTTATTATTAAAGAGATTATCAAAGTAGAACGCGTTCTTTGTAATAAAAAAGAGCATCTTTAAAATGACCCGTGAGCCCCAACCGGCAGTACATAATGGGAAGAGCATGCTTACTTTGCTCACCAAAGCATGGCCAGCGTAAAAGGGACATCTCAAGGGACTGAAACACATACACCCCAAAACCCAGACTTATTTCTTCCAAGGAGACAAGAGTCTGTTCCTTCAGCAAATGTGGCTGGCCTGGCACCAGAAACATGCTGGTCCCACACACCTGGCCCCTTGGGTATCCAAACAGAGCAATTAATCATTCACCAAAGCGACTGAAAGAGCCCTCACACATGGTGGAGTGATGGAACCTTGAACTCTGTGCGATCATTATCCAAAGAGAAGTCACTAAACAGCACCCTGTGATACGTCCTGCGCCTGGCCATGCATGTCCCTGCGAATCCCAAGGCTCCATCCCCACGCAGGACAGCCCCGCAGCGGATTATCTCACGAAATTGCCCCCAGATGTTTTCATGACACCTCTATGAGGTCTGTGCTGCACAAGGCGAGGTGATACAAGTCCTGAGCCACTCAAACACTCGCTTACCAGCAATAAGCCACTGGGCTAATTAAAAATGCCAGGAAAACGGATTGTTCTGCTGCTCACCGGTGTACAAAATACTCCAAGAAGGGAATCTTCAGCCTTACAGACCTTTGCTAAGACAGTCTTGTCTAAGCGTGAGAACAGCTCGGGGGCCAAAGTGTTGCAAAAAAGGAATCTAGCTCTGCGATCCCCCGCCCCCAGCAGGTTCATCAGATTAGCGCCTGCGAAAAAAATGCATGCAGAAATGTGCACGGGGAGCAAAGGCACACTCCGACATGCCCATCCGCGTGAATATTCATGGCTCATAAGGGCTCGGGGCTGTATTGGGGTTATTAAAAGGCAATATATAAAGTTTAATGTTGGCCTAACCGGCCCATTCCAGACCCTGAAGGTGTTTAGATGACCCCTTTTAAATCGACAACCGCCACTTCGGTGGGGCGAGCGCCCGGTTAGGGGATGAGCATCCTGACAAGCAAACCCAAAAGCTGCACATAAACTTCAAAAATACCCCTCCTGCTGCTTTAGCCCCCCCCCCTAAATTCCCGCAATTAAAGCGTGGCAGATTTTCAAGGAGATACCCATATTTAAGTGAAGGAAAAGGCACTGGAAATGCTTACCCCTGTTAGCACCATGTCAGGGAGGTCAGTTGTTTCTGGTTGTTTGGGAGGGGTTGTCCCCACAGCCTGGTTGGAGCATCCGTAAAGATGGGGAGGTTCAGCTTCAGAGCCTGCAAACAAATACTGCAGGTTATATCCCAAATCTTTCATTAATTGTACTCACCTTGCCTCATCTGTCAGCTCCAAATCCTCCTCGGTAACAATGTGAAGCAAAAAAATAATAATAAAAAAAAACACTAAACAAAAGAAAAAGAAAAGAAAAAAAGGATTTTTGCATACAAACAGCAGCAAAGCTATGGGAAGTTGCACTGTGGAAGACCAATTTAAGCACAAATCATTAAAAAAGGCAAAGATAGCTCCAAATGATCCGTCAGAACGGCTATCAAGCAAGATCTTCACATAATTCAACAGTAAAATGAATGTGTCCCCCCTGGTTTCACAGCCTGTATAGCTGCAGTGCAGTCAAGAAGGACTTGAGGAGTGTAGTTAGGTTCTTTCCCCAAAGACGGTGTCTCCTTAAAATGTGCCCCTCGGACTGCGTTGAGTTCTGGTAGAAATAAAGCTGGGAGCTTCAGTGTGCAAAAGCTGAGCATCCCTCATGCAATCATAAATTGCTGAATACAGAACAGCTAAATTCTTCTTAGCAGTAGGTTCCACATGACCAAAAAAGAGCTGAATTGAGGTTTAATTCAGTCAAAGCTGTGAAACCAAGAGGTGAGGACAAACTGGTGCTCATTTTAATATGCTTAACACCTTCACCTGCTAAACCTGGTCCTTTCTGGATAATGCTGGTTTAAAGAATACCATTCCAGCCACACCACGCTTTCCAGTGGACACTGTGTGACCTGATGGAGGTCTCCTCCACTGTGCTTTTTGCCCCGGCAGACACAGTGAACGTGCCCAGCATCCGAGGGGCTGTGCGGGCTGTGGGGTCTCATCTGAAGAACCAGGGCTTGAACCTGCTCATCAACAATGCGGGCATCAGCTCGCACGCCACGCTGCGCTCCCTGGATTCACAGGAGATGCTCTCCGTGTTTGCCACCAACGTGGTTGGGCCACTCCAGGTTACCAAGGTACGTGTGGACCTTTTGCGTTTCTCCTGCCTGGGGAGATCCCAGAATCACAGAATGGTTAGGGTTGGAAGGGACCTCTGGAGATCATCTAGTCCAACCCCCCCGCCAGAGCAGGGTCACCTACAACAGGTTGCACAGGACGGCGTCCAGGCGGGTTTTGAATGTCTCCAGAGTGGGAGACTCCACAACCTCTCTGGGCAGCCTGTTCCAGTGCTCCACTACCCTCAAGGTAAAGAAGTTCCTCCTCATGTTAAGATGCTTCAGCCGGGTGGGTTCTCGCTCTCTCGAAGGAGACAGAGTGATGGGGGCAAGCGCAGGACCATGGGTCTCCTCTGCCCACCCAGAGGAGCAGGGAGGCTGAGGGGCAGCTCAGCTCAGCCCCAGCATCTCCCATGCTTTGCTCCTCCCCAGCTGGAGCTCCAGCCCTGGGAAGGGAAAGGCTGGAGCCCGGCCGGTCCCTGGAGTGTCCTCCCCGTCCCCTGCCCTTCTGCTGGGGGAGTCTGTCCAGCTCCACTGCTACAGAAGGCAGTGAAAGACGCGGGGAAGGAGGGGCTGAGCTGCAGCAGGGCTGCGGTCATCAACGTCTCCACCAAACTGGGCTCCATCGGGCTGTGCCTGGGGGTGCCGGAGGCGCCCATGTACCCGTACCGTGCCAGCAAGGTGAGGTGCCAGGGGAGGTGCTGGGGATGCTCTGCTGGGCACCGTGCCGGTGGAGGGGAGCCCATGGGGGCACCCGCCTGGGACTGAGCCTTTCAGGCGGGCTGTGCCGATGCTTTATCCCAGGACAAGGTCCCATTTCCCACCTCCACAGCCATTTTCTGGCTGGGAAACTTCCCCCCTCCTGCCCACCGGTGCCGCTGGTCGTGCTGGCACGGCGGTGCCTCTTCCAGGCTGCCCAGAACATGGTGACGAGGTGCATGGCTGCGGAGCTCCGAGACAAGGGGATCTTGTGCACGGCCATCCATCCCGGCTGGGTGAAGACCGACATGGGGACGGAGAAGGTACCGGGCTGTGCAGGGAAGGGTCAGCAGGACCCCCGCTGTAACCCCAGACCTCGGGGAGGGCAGAGGCATTTGGGGCAGAGGATGTTGTGTGACACTGTGTGCTGGCAGGACCATCTCCTGGGGCAGAGCCGGCAGCGAGCTGCAACGTGCCAAGCGCACGGGGTGGCCGGCCCTGTCCCCCTTGCCTGGCGTGGAGAGCAGTGGGTAGCAGTAAGGAAAAACACCCCCATGAGCACCGTGGGTGCTGCTCCCTGGGCCCTGCACCCTGTGGCCGGCGCAAGGCCGGTTGCTTTCTGTGCCGCTCGCAGCCCATGGCAGCGATGCTGTGCTTCGTCCTCCTCTGCAGGCGCCCCTGACGGTGGAGCACAGCGTGCGGGGTATCCTGACCGTGCTGGCCAGCCTCTCGCAGGACACCTCCGGCGCCTTCCTCGACTGGGAAGGGAACAGCCTGCCCTGGTGACAGACAGATGGATGGACGGACAGATGACGGTGCCTCTTGCCCAGGCGGCAGCCTCCCCGCTCGCTGGCGCACCCCTCCACATGGTCACTCCACTCACCGTCCACCCGCTCTGTGCTGCCAGGAGAGGGGAAGGGCGCAGGGAGCAGCTTCTCTCCCTGTCCCCACCCCGTGCATGGCGCTGCAGCCCTCCTGTACCCCCAACTCCATAAATGTTGGGAGCTGACGCCTCTCTGCTCCATTTCCGCACTCGCAGCCTCAAACCCCCGGCCGAGCCCGGCAGCCGCTCCCCACGCGCTGTGTGTCCCTC